GTTTCCATATTACCCCTATATCCTCCTAATTCCAGTCATCTCTCAGTACTCTCTCCCTCCACTCCTACCTCTCCCACCCCCATGCCTTATCCCTCCTGTTCCCATCCCCACCTATCCCCAGTCTACACACAAAATCCATTTTATTTCCACTTCCCTGGGAAATCCATGTATCCTTCCTCAAGGCTTCCTTGTTACTTATAGCCTCTTTGGGTCTGTGGATCGTAGCATGATAAGCCTTTACTTAACAGCTAATGTCCACTTATAAGTGAGTACATACAATGTTTATCTTTCTGAGTCTGGGTTACCTCACTTAGGGTGATTGTTGTTTCTAGTTCTATCTATTTGTCTGCAAATTTCATGATGTCATTTTTTTTGACAGCTGAGTAATTGTGTAAATGTACCACATATTCTTTATCCATGTTTCAGTTGAGGGACATATAGGTTATTTCTAGTTTCTGGCTATTATGAGTAAAGCTGCTATGAACATAGTTGAGCAAGTTTCCTTGTGGTATGATTTAGCATTCTTTGGGTATATGTCCAAGAGTGGTATAGCAGGGTCTTGAGGTAGATCAGTTCCCAATTTTCTGAGAAACCACTATATTGGTTTCCATAGTGGCTGTACAAGTTTGCACTCCCACTAGCATTGGAAGAGTGTTTCCCTTCTCTGTTTAGACCTGTACAATTGTTAATTGGATTATTTGGTTTGTTTATCTAGTTTCTTATGCCCTTCATATACTTTGTGTATTAGCCCTCTATTAGATGTGGAGTTGGTGAAAATTTCTTCTCATTCTGTAGGCTGCCATTTTGTCCTATTGATGGTACCCTTATAGAAGCTTCTCTGTTCCATGAGGTTCTATTTATTGTTTATCTTAGTGCCTTGCTATTGGTATTCTCTTCAGAAAGTTGTCTCCTGTGTCAATGTGTTCAAAGCTATTCCTCACTTTCTTTTCTATCAGGTTTAGTGTATCTGGATTTATGTTGGGATCTTTGATCCACTTGGACTTGATTTTTGTGCAGGGTGATGAATATGGATCTATTTGTATTCTTCTACATGCAGACATCCAGTTAGGCCAGCATCATTTGTTGAAGATGCCTTTTTTTATTGTATATTTCTGGCTTCTTTATCAAAAATCAGGTGTCCGTAGGCATATGGATTTACATCTAGGTCTTAGATTAAATTTCATTAATCAACCTGCCTATTTTTATGCCAATACCATTTGTTTTTTATTAGTATAGCTCTGTAGTACAGCTTGAAATCAGAAATGGTGCCAGGGGAACCCCATAAAAGAGGAAGAGGAAGGAGTGTAAGGGTTAGAGGGGTTGAGGACACTGAGAACACAGCCCACAGAATCATTTAAGCAGGGCCATAGGTGCTCACAGAGACTGAAGGGACAAGTATGGACCCTGTATGGTCTGATCTAGGTCCTCTGCATACATGTTATGGTTGTGTAGCTGGGTGTTTTTGTGAGGCTCCTTAACAGTGGGAATGAAGGGTGTCTCTGACTCTTTTGTCTGCTCTTGGAACCCTTTTCCTCCTACTTGGTTGCTTTAACCAGCCTTGATATGAGAATTTGTGCTTAGTCTTACTGTAATTTGTGATGCCATATTCCATTGATATTCCTGGGAGTCCTTTTCTTTTCTGAAGGGAAATGGAGGAGGAGTGGATCTGAGGAAGAGATCAAGTGTGTTGGCGGGGAGCTGGGAGAAATGAAGGGGGGAAAACTAAGGCGTGGATGTAATGAATGAGAGAGGAATAAAAATGGAGTCAGAGCAGCTGCACTGGGTTCCTGTTCGTAGTGCAGTCTGACAACACACACCACAGTGGACATTTGCCGTCACCATTTCTTCGCTGTTTGCCTTTCCTCTTCGTTCTTGGGCGTTCTTCATTACTTTCAGTGCTCACTTTCATCCTCACTGTTGCCATGATTATGGTTGTTCAGGGCTTACAGCATGCATATTCAGCTTACCGCTTGCTGCCATTAGATAACACCTTTACTGCAAGATACCTTAGCTTACAGTAGTGTCCTTCAGCCTGGTGTTCTCTCTGTGTGGATTTCATTTCTACATTTATCATATATTCCATAGTAAGTACTTAATTCTTTTTGCTTCAGGTAGTTAGTTACCTTTAAAAAATTGACCAAAATGTCTTTTATTTGCCCACATATTTAACATTTTGATTATTCTTCATTGTTTGAAAATATTTCAGCTTCTGTGTTTTTTAATTTTATTTTTGTATTGTGTGACTAAGTTTTGGGAAAAATTCGATTCACTTCCCTCTCAGAAGCGTGGGAATGACCTGAACTCTAAGGGTATTTAGGAGGAAATCATAAGGAATATGTCAATAATGTTGCTGATCTCAAAGAGATTGTAGTTGGTTCATTTAGAGGTTAAGGTGGGAGAGGGCATAGACTGGGGGATGAATGAGAAATACTTCCTGGAATAGAATTTTCACATTACTCAAAGCCATTGCCTTGTTCTGTGAACTGTCCTTTTCAACCCCACATCAGGCAGCTGTTTGAGGAGATATTGGTTCATGTGCATTTTTTCTCACATGATACCAAAAGCTCCTTTATAGAAATATGTTAGTCCAGTTCACGTAGTCACTGTATATTCCAGACGAAATCTTAAAGAGTCTGAGCTCATTCGTAAATTCTAAGCTAGACCACTCGCTGTAATTAACCCTTCTGCCAAAAATGTTATTTTATGAAACAAAGTCCACAAGATTACATCAATTTTACATAACTTTGCATTTCAGGAAGTCATGTTTTTTGTTGTGGTCTTGAAGTCAATAGTTCGTTCTCTGTTTTAAAACAAAGTCAGGGAAGATGGCTCCTATGTGCCATGACAAGAACAGAGTTGAATGTTTCCCAGGTGAAGCTGGTCTTTCCTACTCAGGAGTTCACACTGCAAACACTCAGAACGCTCAGCTGTGGAATTCCCATGAGGGTATTGTGCGATTTATGAACAAATAGAAGCAATTTTACAAATATAGTCTAATTTTGAGCCATATTTGATACTCCAAAGATTACTAAAACAAAAATCCCTAATATTAAAATACGCTTGATTGAAATAGCTACAAATGACTTGTATTTCCAAAATCAAAACAAAACAAAAAGCAAAATAAAACAAAACTTTTTGATGCTTATCAAGTTGTGCCAGATAGCTGTGACTCTTCCTTAGAGTAAGCATGATGTAAGATCTTGTTCTCTTCTAAGCAAGTTTGTCCCTGACTCTGCAGGTTCCTACTACAGGTGCAGTTTTCAGAGCAGTGAACATGAAGATGGATTTCTACTGATTTTGAAAGTCAAAGTTTACCTGACCTAGGACCACCCGGGGGTGGGCAGGTCAGACCCTTTGTGACTGTGTAGATTTAGACAAGCCTAATTCCTCTCTGCAAGTCAGAGAACATGAACTGTGGAAAGTGGGGCTCCTCTTTAAAGTTCAGAACACAGGATGGGTGGTAAAAAGATGAGGGAAGGATTAGAGAAGGCCAGCAGGTTTTTCCTGCTTTGTCAACTTGCATTCAAAGTAGATCAAAAGAGATGACAGGCGTCTTTTTGTCAAAGCACTTTGAGAACATTCTCATTTCCACACAGCCCTGAACATTGGGTAGACATCCTGGTTTCACCATTTCTGTCTACTCTGCTGGGGTGATGTAGTTTAAATATTCCTCCAGAGATAGATTCCATGTACCCACATGTGTACCGGTTATTATTTCTTCTTTGTAAAGACACAAACCATGTCACACTCTACAGACTCACTGACTCTTTTAACAAACTCATCTGATATTGTTAAAAGTTGAAACTATTGATTTTCTCTTATAGCCTTTTGGGTTCAATGTTTCTAGTGATTCCTATTTAACTTAAGTTTGAATTTGAAATTTGGGTACCTCTATTTTAATTGCTGAAGAGTCAACCCCTTCTATTTTCATTTATTAAGAGCCCTTCCTTGTAAGGTAAATATGTTAAATTTTGTCACATAATTTTCTAGGTTCTTAAGTTGAGCTGTAGAATGTTCTGTAGTGATGGAATTAGGATAATAGAAGTGTTCAAAATTGCATGGTGCAAGGTACTACATGCTAGCCACAGCAACTAGTGAGGTAAGAAAATGTACTAATTTTGCTTAATGTGACTTCATCTAATTTATATGTGACTCTAGCTAGCTAATGATTATTACATTAGACAATACAGATCTCTAGGGCTTTCCTGGGGTGCTGATATAGTAAATGATATTGTTTCTAATCTATTTATCTTTGATAAAATTATTCTTTTACTTTGTAGTATTTTAAATATTCTTTGGGCTAGAGGATTGGCTTAGTGGTAGAGAACTTGTCTAATATGCAAGAGGCCTTGAGTTGAATCCCCAGCACTACAATATACAATAAATCTGTAACGTTTTCTTGCTATTAAAAAGAATAAAATAAGCATGTATAAAAATGTATCTACATACCACCCTAGCTTAGAATTAGTTGATTTGTTTTGAATATTTCCTTCCATACGATTAGTACATTTCCAACTTATATTCCTTATGTATGATTGGCCTCTTGAAAGTTGAAAATACAGTAAAGTAATAAGTTGAAAAAAATCATTATTTTATTGCTAATGTATTTTATAAAATCACAAAAATTAGAAACATATGAAGAGCCCCAGATATCAAAGTCAAAGACGTGTAGGTGTTTATATTCATCAGTTTAAAGAGAATGTATTATTTACTTTAGATCGCTTAAAACAGGTCACAAACTCTGTTAGAGTAAAAGAAACTATATTAAAATCTCATCTTTTCATTGAACATTTTTTCCCGGAGAATGTTTATATGGAGAAATCAGGTTTATATGGCTATATAAGAAGCAAACAATAGAGATGTTCTACTTTAACCACTGCACTCTTAGTGATGATTCTGAGATGGCAAAGAGAAACGAAGCCAGACAAACTTGTTTCCAGGCCTCCATGGACTCCAGCTCCTCTGCTAACTTCCCTGGAAACAGGGCAGAGTGACAGCACCTAAGGGGAAGACATTCTGCCGAAGAAGAGGATGTTGTTGGTCTTGTTTTGCTTGATGAAGAATAGGAAAGGGTGATCACAAGAGAAATCTTCACTTATTAATGCGGATGTTAGAGCAACTTCTACCCCTGTGGCAGCTGCAGCTTCTGTCCCCTCTTCAGTCACCTCCACAAAGGACTTGTGTAAAACTTGAGACACCACGAGGCCTTCCCTGCTGCTCATGCCCAAGAAGTCGGCTTTCTGTGCATTGAAGGCATCCACCATCCCCATGTGCTCCAATGGAGCCGGGAGGTCATACTTCTGCTCCACTCTGAATCGTGGTAAGGATAAATACAACTCTATCATGTCCATATTCTGTGGGCTTGTCCACTCTATTAACTTATCAGCAGTGAGCTCATCTTCAAGCTATAAAAATAGGGGAAAAGAAATTGTCATGATTAACTGAAAGCCTGTAGCTCACATGAGCAATGAATGAAAGGGAAACCTTTAGTAATAAACATTAGAAACACTGTATTGTATAAATACAACAAATACTGATGATTCAGTATAGATATTATTTATTTAGAAAATTTAAAATTAGATATCATTGTCACTAATATTAAAAAGTAGAATCATTATTTTGTACAGAATTGACTATATTCATTATTTCTCGCTGCTAGCCACCTGTGTAACTTTAAATAAATGTTTCTTTATATTTTCTTGACATCTATAGTTATTATATAATGCTCTAGGTTTTACATTTTTATTCAAAATATTTATAAACATTTTCTACATTGTGATTTATTTCTTTCAACAAATTTGACTTGTTCCTTCTTATTGGCATGAAGTGGATATTTAATGTGTGTAACTGTACTTAATTACTAATCAGGCAAGCCTCCAGTGTGTTTCAGGCTGTGTATAGAATACTTGTAATACAGGACGAAACACCATATTTCCTTTAAAATTTTTCATTGTTGTCATGTTTAATTATTTTCATTAGTGTCTTGTTTAAATTTGATAGCTTAGGAAGAAATGAGGTGACAGAAAGAAGAGTAGGAGACACAAGCTTTACCTTCTTCAGACCATCGATTTCATTTGGTAGTAGAATAAACATGCTTAGCTCTTTGCATTTGTATGGTATTTCCACAATCTTGGCCTGCACATCCTCCAGCAAGTTAAAGTTAAACTTGCTTTTTTGTTTCATCATCTGGACAGGTTTACTAGTATTCTGTAACAAATCAATGTGTCAAACACATACCAAGGGAGACATAAGACAGCATAGATAATGTTGTTGAGATACCAAACACATCAACATCCTTTGAAGAGACAACCCTGAAATTTTGTGAAGTCAAAACAAAAAGTTTCTTTAATTGTTCCTACTTAACAAAGTTACAAGACTAAAACACATGACATATTTTATTTTGTACTTTCTGCAGCATCACTTGTATTTAAAATGAAATATCCACACATTACTATATGATATTATGTAAATAAAATACCAACCTTGTTCAGCCAAAAGTTTTCTTCTCCAGTATGCTTTTCATCAAATTTGTGATCCCATTGTCCTTTGAAATACACTGCATTCACCAGAACCAGTATAGTGCTACTGCTCAGGCTCCCATCAGGAAATAAGTCTTTGATTTTTCCTGCCAGGGAAAGAACAAAATGTCTATCATCAAAGTAGAAGGAGCTTGTCTGGAGGATGCTTTACAAGAGTTCACCATTGCTCGCTTATCACTTGTTAACCCAAGTCATTACTTGAAGGACTGATTGACTTGTTCATAAGACATAGCCTTCCTCACAGTGCCTTGTGTGTCTTGGGATGGACATATCAATTCTTGTCAGAGGAAAGACATTTAGGCTTTCTGTCTGGGTGATTATGGCCAACTCACAGTGAATACTGACAAGCTGTTTGGATCTCCCCTATCAGCTTACCTCTGCTCCTTCCTCTCTCTCTGTAACTTACTTTTTCCCCTTCATTTTAAGGTTCACTACCCAAAGTGTTCTACCCAAGGCCTGATTATTCTTTTATATAAATGAGAATTCTATCATCTGAAGCACATTCCTGGTAATGTCAAACACTACTCCAGGTGTGTCCCCTGTTCACTTTTATGTTGGACTGCTGCAAGCTTGGCCTATCAAGAGAGTGAGATATGTCTACAAAGTGGAAGCTTTGTTGAGATCTCTGCTCTAGGTGGTGAAAATGGTCATCAATCCCTTCAGGAGGTCAAGGTAGAGACATGAGCTGAGATGAGAAGAAGTGCCTTGCTTTCTTGACTGGCAAAAGAGAAAGAGACTTTCTCTGTCATTTTCTCTTAGCTTTCCAGAATTGGCTGTGACTTAAAAAAATGGATATGATATCAAAACATGTCTGGGTGGAGGCTTCAGGTTCTCAAAAATACCACTAACTAAGCTAAATGTAAATGATTCTGTTTCCACTGATTGACTTTCTGCTAACTTCTCCATACTTCCTTCTGGCTCACTTCATATTTATGGAGACCATCCCACCATGTCTGGTACTTCCTCCAGTGACCCTCCTATACAATACCGTTTGTTTGGCTTTCCACCCAAGAATTAATCTTCTTTTGGCTTTGGTCTGCAGCATGTGCAAAGTCAAGTGATTCCACATTGGCATGGTAAAATTTATTAATATCTTCCAAAAATTCCTTTGATACATGAAGGAACCAAAAAGAATTAAGAACAATTTAGACATTATTCAAATTTCACTATTTGTGACGATACTAGAATCTGATAGCAGACCCTGGCCACATCTGCTGTTCTATGAACATGCAGATTTTTTTACTCAGGTAATATTATGTAGGCAATGTGAGAACACATTGTGGGAAGGCTGGTGCAGGGATGTCACTGAAGGTCAATACCATATGGTAAAAGGCCGGTGGACAAAAGGCTAGGACTTGCAAAGTTCCCAGTAAGTCAAGAGAGTTGATTTACTCCTGAGCTAACCTACCACTAAGTTCAACCACTGCATTTCTCATTTGATTACATCTTCAATGCAGGGAATGCTATATTCCCTGGTACTTCCCAATTCTCCCCAGGATCTCCCCAAATTTGCCCGTTCCAGAAACATTCCATTTGCCATAAATCTTCTGCCATAATCTCTATATTTGAGTCAGTGCTGGCTCATTACTAACATCTCACAACAAACTCTGCTGATGTTACATTCTCTCTCATGGGACAGTTCTCAAGCCCATGCTTGATATATACATCACTAGGGTTTTGGACAATCCAGTGGGTTAGAATTGTGACTATGGAGCTGGTTCTCCCTGGGCAAATGTTGCCTCTCCAAGTCTGCCTGGCCTCACTCTTACATATGGTCATTCAGACATGTAGGACCTAGGATGCAGATTAATGGTATGCAAAGCCAGGTGCAACTTACCTGGAGAAATGGGAAATCCTTTGCTCCATAGATACTATTGGCTGCCTTCAGATCATAAGCATCATTGGATTTGTTTAACTGAGTCATAAGCTTTTGAAATTGGTGATGGAGATTTTCAGACTTTTCATCCTTCAATGTCAAAAAGGGTATTCATTGAGCCACTCTGCTAATGTAAATACTAAACTCAAAATAAATACCCAAACACCTGTAATCCCAAAGACAACTTTTTGAATATTCTCTGATAGCTGTTGCATTTTATCTTAAATGTTCCCACTTTACATTCAACTTTTTCCAGCAATGCCTTTCTTCTTTCTTTAACACATTCCAATATGCTGCCTTTTGAACTAAATATGCAGTGCTTTTTGGCTGTCTTGGCTTAAGTTGTCTCAAGTTTGACATCCTCTGCACATAACGTAGTATGTGCGCACTAGTCATTGAAGGACTGGACTATATGTCAGTAATCTAAGTCTGAGTACAATCCAGATTAAAACAAAAAGTTTCAGGAAATTTAATGACCTGTTTAAAGAGATGCTAGCTACAGAGCCAAAATTTGAATCTAAGTAACTTTGAATCAGGATACCTCTCTTTTTTAGCTAAGAGGTTACATGGTCAAGGCTCCAAACCCATATAAATATGATAACAATCATTTCCCAAAATGTACTTGAATATGTGCTTATTTCTCTTAATCTGATTGTTAAATTAAAATAAAATTGTTTTAGTAACATTATTGTGAACAATGGCAATTATTGTTATCTTACAATAACAATAGCTAACATTCATTATACTTTCTTATTTGTAACAGGCCAGACATTTTCGTAAGTGTTGAATATATTGAGTCATATTCCTTTTAAATCTCACTTTACTAGAATTCAGTCACAGTGATACTCTATGTCCTCATTTCTTTTGTTTGGAAATTCCCTTACAGATTGATTTTTTAAACTGTGAAATGTTCACTTTAAATTATATGTTAGAAATCTGAAGGTCTTCTAGGCATGAGGTGCCCTGGACTCACATGACAGTCTGCAGACTTTTCTGTTGTCTTCTTCGTGGCTCCACTGAATTGAAGAGCCTGAAAGAGAAGCAAGTGTGAAAAGAAAACTTTGCTTAGAGTTCTGTCTAAATCCAATGAAACAAAATCAGAACAAACCCCTGAAAAACAAATAAGAAAATTAAAAATTAGAAAAATTCCTCCAAACCTAAGTACAAGAGTTTGTAAGAAACACCAAAAGTTGATTCACTGGTTATGTGAATAGATGCTCATCCACTCGCTGCCCAGTTCACACCCCTCAGAGCTAAGCCAATCTATTGCTTCCATCGGTACTCTCCACAGTTTATGTTCACTTCTAGTTGTTGGGCACAAGAAGCAGTCATCCTGGCCCAGCACCCAAAGGATGTCCAGGAAGCATCTGGACCATGTTTGGGAAGGGTGTGTCCCTCCCAAGTTCTGTGTTTATGGTCACGGCAGTGCCTACTCAACATCTCTGTTCTTCATCTCAGGGCTCTGTCTTTATCACCATCTGTCTGTGCACTGACAGAGGATGGAGAGACAAGTTCAAGCTGACTGACAAAATGAAGTTTACACTTACCTTCTCGATTTGTTGTCTAGTGTTTCCTTTGGCTCCAAGCTGGAGCATTGCTAATGCTGTCATGATACTGACTGGGGAGTAGAAGATGTTGTCCTCTGTTTCTCTGAGCTGCTGGTACAGCTCAAGTGTGAAATTCGTAGTTGCTTCAGCAAGCAGATGCATGGTGACCTTAAAGTCCTAGAGCAAAATAAAGTCGGCACAAAGTTTAGAATGACTTCACTAAATGGACTATCACTCTGCAATGAACAATTCTTAAAGGAAATGACATATCTGTATTATAAGATTCTGGCAAATAAATTTATTATTTTTCAAGTTTTCCACAATGTACATATGCTATTCTCCTAATTAGAAGTCATGAAAACAGTGTCTTTAAGACTTTTGCAAACAACTAATAGGGAATCCTTTTATCTTTCTTTTCTCAACAGCTGTGCTAGGTTTGGGTTGAAAGGTTTATAATGAATTCCAAGATAAAGACTTCTGTAGCTAGCATCCAGTTAGCTGCCTAAAGTTACCTCTCAACTTTTCCTTTAAGATGCTGTAGTTGCCAGACACAATCCTTGGAAGAACGCATATGTTTACTTGGAAATAAATTATTTAGATAAAAAACAAATTAAGTGAAGGAGGTATTTAACTTTTTTTTGGCAGATCAAGATAAATACAACCAGGCAAAACATCACATACACATGAAATGAAACACACCATTGTTACCCTCAAACATAATTCATAGTTTAGCAGTATTGGCTGGAAGCACTTACTTGTGTTTCTGTAGGAAGAAGTGGGGAGGAAGAATATGAGCCTGTGTGTGGCTGATCTTGAGACCTGGAATATATACGTCTCTTCCTGCTGCCACTGCCTTGTTGTTTCAGTGGTATTTCAAGTAAATCAACTTCAGATTTCATAACCAGATTAGCTTTTCAGTTATGCAAATTTGTGAGAAAAGACTGGCTTAATATCTTGCCAGATGTTTCCCTTTTCCACATGACACACTACAGATAGACTTTTAACTATTGTCAATTGCTGACTCATCAGAATTGCACATAGGTACTTTTCTGATAGCAATGACGTTACTTTAAAATTTCAGCTTTGCTATGTTCTCGACAGCTCTTCAATTATTCCAATAAAACTACCCTTGTTTTAGGTTGTTGAATTGACTTTAAGGCACATCTCAGATACCAAACAACTAAAAAGCTAACATTACCTACTTTTTCTTCATGAAAGATTCATTAATCCTGTCAATTTCTCCAGTAATTACTCTATGCAAAGAGGAAAATAGTTCTAATGCTAGTCCAAAGAGATACTGGAGAGTCTGGAGAACAAGGCTTTTTTAAAAAAAAACCTCTCCATGATAGTCTGTCTTGCCACAGTTACTTCCTAAGCCTCCTGAAGCTACCTTGGACTTTTCTGTTGCTTGAATGTGAGAAAATTACTTATCTAGTATGGGCATTCTAGTAACTGGAAGAGCAGTTGAAACAAATGAGTGTGTTTGAACACAGCTTTCTTTCTAATGCTTTCTGTGAAAAGCAAACAGCAGAGTGATTTGTTCTTTCTCACATAGTAAGTTAGCTGAGTTGTCGAACACAGCCTCTCCCTTTACTTCACTGTTACTACACCGATTCAGGCTCATGGATGTCAGGGTCAAATGCATTCAAGAAATTATTGGAGCACATTGAAGTGTATTACTAGATTATTAATGTAAGATATCGCTGATTACTCCATGTAGATATTTACAGCGCTAAAACCCTCTCTTAAAACAACTGTCATTGTGTTTTACAGAGTCTAATATGTTGTGCTTTAATTTTCATTTGATTGTAGGAATTTTTAAATTTCCCTCTTAAATTTTTTGACAACTCAGTAATTGTTCAAAAATGTTTTATTTGGCATGCATGTGTTTACATATTTTGTTTTATTCAGCATCCATGTTTTTCTTGCTGTGGATCTCCAGTTTTGTTTGACCATTATCCAACAGAGTTTAGGAAGTTATTTCAGGATGCTTGCATTGTTAAGACTTGCTTTATGACTTATTTTGGAGGAATTCAATGGTATGCACAAAATGTGCATTCTGCAACTGTTTCTGTAAATATCTGTTAAATTCCATAAAGCAGTTCCAAAACTAGTAGAATAAAGAAATAACAAAGAACTGATCTAAAATTAATGAAGTAGAAACCAAAAGAACAATAAAAAGGGTCAATGCGACAAGATCTGGTTCTTTGAAAAGATAAACAAGTTTGGCAAGCCCTTTGCCAAACTAGCCAAAGAAAGACAGAAGACTCAGTACAATTACAGAGAGGAGGGTGTATTAAACAGATCCTGCTGAAGTCCAGATGATCACTGGGGAATGTTTGGAGAGCTTAGTGTCTTAGAATTTCTATTGTGATGAAACACCATGACCATAAGCAATGTGGGGAGGAATGGTTTATTTCACTTCCACATCTGTGTCATAGTCCTTCATTGAAGGGAGTTATGGCATGGATGCCAGCAGGGCAGGAGCTTGGACCCAGGGGTCGATTCAGAGGCTGTGGAGAAGTGCTGCTTACTTCATGCTTACTTTCATGCTCAGGATGCTCCACTTCACAGCTTCTGCTGTTTCTGGTCGTTATCCCATGCTATGGGCATCTCCGAAATGCTGGGCTCTCTTGTTACCACTGGACTTCTTCACTTTTACCAGTAGCCTCTCCTGTGATCTCTTCAGAGTCTCTGATCCTGACACATGGTGCTGAGCCTCAACTTTTTTCCATGACCCCTTCAGTCATGGCCTTCTACTGCAACTGAGGCTGTTCCTTCACCCATGACCTCTCCCAGGGCCAAGGCTCAACTGTTCTTCGTGATACCTTCATGCCCTTAAAACTAGTACTAACTGCATGATTCTTACATATTACTAAGTTTGGCTGCAAGCAGGAGATGCTAGAGATCTTACATGGCCAAGATGTGAACTTGACTTCTACTTCTTAGTTTGTATGAACAACTCAAGCCAGATTTGATGGGAGATGACTGAAATCCCAACATTTGGCAGGTGGAGTCTGGAGTCTCAGGAATTCAGTCTGTATTGGACCACACGGTGAATCTGAGGCCAGCCTGGGCAACAAGAGACCTTGTCTCAAGAAATATAGCAACTTACACGGATAAAAGCTTTCAATGCAAGATATAAAACTTTCTTATTTTTGCTATTTTATTTTATTTTTATTTTATAATTTAATTTTACATATCAACCACAGATTTCCCTGTCCTCCCCGCCCCCCGCCCTCCTCCCAACCCACCCCCATTCCCATCTCCTCCAGGGCAAGGACTCCTCTGGGGATTCAGCTCAGCCTCGTAGATTCAGTCAAGGCAGGTCCAGTCCCCTCCTCCCTTCACCCAGCTTTCAAATTACTAAATGAAAGCAGAGAAAGCATTTGAAATTCTGGCCACTGGCAGTGACTTTCTAAACAGGAATACAACTGCTCAGAGGTAATAAAAGGAACTGGAAAATGCATGAAACAAAAAAATTCTGAGCAACAAAAGAAATGATCACTGGAGTGAAAAAACAGCAATAAGATGGAAGGAAATGTTTACCAGCTAATATTGTGATAACGATTAATGTACAGATTATATTAAGACCTCAAAACTTAAACATCAAAAGAACAAATAATACAATAAAGAAATGGGGGAGTGATGGGGGTATATAGTTCTCAAAAGAGCTGTAAATGGCTAATAAATGTATATAACAATGGCCAGCATAGAAATGCAAATCAAGTCAAAATTAGATCTTAACTCTAGACTGTCTTCAAGGAAACAAAAACAAGTGAATGCTGGGCAGGGTTCAGGAAAGAAGGAATACTTGTATAATATTAGTGAGAATATAAATTAGTATGTAGATCCCTTCAAACCTAAAACTCAAGTTACCATGTGATCCTGCTATATTGCTCATGGGTATACACATGAAGGAATCAAGGTAAGCTCACAGTAGAGAGACCTGAATACCCATGTTTACCATGGTACTATTCATGACAGCCAAGTAATGGAATCAGTCTAAGTATCTAATAATGAATAAACAGATAAAGAAAATGTGGTACATATATGTAATGGATGATTAGATATTAAGAATAATAAAATCATGTCTGTCTCAGGAACATGTAGGGAACTAGAGGTCATCATGTGAAGTGAAATAGACTCATAAAATTTCACACATTTTTCAGAAAGAGAGGGAAAGGAGAGAGAGACAGAGAGAGTGGCAAAGACAGGGAGACAGGCACAGAGGGAGACAGACAGACACAGAAAGAGACAGAGACAGAGAGAGAGAGGATGTAGGAGGGAATAAGAAAGGATAATTGTGATAGGAGAGTAAATACAATCAAGTACCATCTATTTACATATCTATGTATGAAATGCAGTGGAATTTGGTATTTTGTACAAGTAACAAATACTAATAAATAGATAAATACAAGAGGAAATGAGAAAAGATGAGGCTGTCCTTGAATGCCACTGTGAAGTCCATTTTCCCTGGAGTCCTGTTGTCTGTGTATCATGGATTTCCTGTTGATAGACTAATATTAGTAATTGTTGGCCTTACTGAGATAGGGTAGACATTTACTTACTTATATCTTACAAGTTAATAAAGTAGGTGCATTGGTCATTTCTCATTTCTCAGCTGACAAAACTAAAGCAAAGAGTGATTAAAATCTGGTTTTGTAGATATGGAATTATTCATGAATAGTTTCACTACAGGACAGGTGATCAGGTCAACACACCCGAATCTTCATCTACCACTGTATACCATGTAAAGCAGCCTTCATACTTGTAAGCAGCACAATTCCAAGAGTCAGGAATGGTCAAGTAGTTTGTCCCTGGACCTGTCATCCATGAAGTCACATGAGGCCAGCTGGACTTGCAGACATCCTGTGACAACTAGGAACATGGTTCATGGGAAAATGAGTGGGGTGGAAGCAGGATGCTTTGCTCTGAGTGTGGAGCCCGGAGCAACAATAAAACCCTGCCCAGCTGTATTAACCAGCTTTGCCACACCATAAAGCAGACTTAGAAGAGTCTACTCATGAAGTAAAGGGAAGTTTATTGTGACTCACACTTCTAGAAGTTCAGGTCCTATCCTGGGAATTCCATGTGTTTGGGCCCCTGGCAAGGGTAGGGCAGCGTGGTATTGCAAACTGCTCGCGTCATGAACCAGGAAG